ACCATCTACCCGTATTTCTCTCGCTCTGATGTCCTTTTACAACCCCCCTGTCACGTCCTCTTTGTTTAGTGCTCTTGGCAAATTCCTGCATTCCCTTCCATCGACCACTCATATCCTCCTTGGGTGTGACTTTAATGCTCCTCATAGGCTCTGGGGTTACCCCCAAACACTCAAACCAGGTCGCCTTCTACACTGCCTCGCCCAGGAACGCCATCTCACCCTTCTTAATACTCCTGACACCCATACTCGAGCGGGCACTGTTTCACAGCGTTCCACTACACCCAATCTCACGTTCTCTCGGAGTTCCCTTCCTTTTCACTGGCAGGTGTCCGCTGAAAATATTTTCAGTGATCACTTTCTCATACACATCACCACCCCTCTTTCCCACAATAGGCGGAAACAACGAGTCGCTCACACTGACTGGGAAGCATTCCGTAATAACCTTTTGTCTGACTCATTTAAAACTTACGACGACTGGACGTCGCAGGTCTCCGCAGCAATGACATCCTGTAGTCGCCGCGCTCGTTTTCAACTCCCCATTTCTGACCCTGATCCTCACTTCCTCCGCTTATGGCGACGTCATCAACGCTTGAAACGCGCTCTACGCTCCCAGCCACACAACGTCCAACTTTCTTTCCGAATTGATGCTCTGCGGGCTGAAATTATCGCTTACGGCACTTCTCTCGAGCACTCTCGTTGGAACACGCTGTGTGACGGCCTTGACTCCGAACTGCACTCGCGCTCTACATGGTCTCTGTTTAGGTCTCTCTTAGGTACCAAGCCTGCCGTTGCTCCCACCCTAGCTAAAGCTCTCGCACAAGGGACTCCATCTAATGTGTGTGAAAATTTAAAATCTCTATTCCCCCCCCCCCCTCGCACCTTCCTACCCAGATTATTGTGGCGAAGCAAACCCAGACCTGGACCGCCCATTCACACTCAGGGAGCTGGAAGCTGCCTTAGCCACTCAATCTACCCGCTCGGCACCCGGTGAGGATGAGATAACATATACTACATTATGTAATCTCCCCGACAACGCGAAGGAATTTCTCTTACACACATTCAACGAAGCATGGAACAGCGGCTGTCTTCCAAGCTCTTGAACATCATTCCTAATTTGCATGATTCCGAAGCCGGGCAAACCTCCATCTCTCTCTAACCTTCGCCCTATCTCTTTGACGTCATGCGTTGGCAAGACTCTTGAGCGAATGGCCTTGACTCGACTGTCTGATTTTATTGAGGCGAAAGAGTTTTCCCTCCTTCTCTTATTGGATTCCGACGCCACGTTTGTGCGCAGGACATGTTCCTTGTTCTTCAGCATTCTTTTCTTTCACCTTCTCGTAGTCAGATTCATGCGCTTGTAACTATCGATGTACGGAAGGCATTCAATGGCGTGAGTCATGACCACATACTCGCTCACCTTTCCTCCCTGTCATGTGGCTCCCGCATGTATTCTTACATCCGATCATTTCTTTCTAATCGAGTTGCTCGCTTTAGAGTCGATACTCATTTGTCTAACCCACACTCCCTCATCCGCGGCACTCCTCAAGGTGCCGTACTATCTCCTACTCTATTTGATATGGCTATGGCCCTCCTTGCCTCCCAACTGTCCTAAATACCTGACCTCCACCATATTTTTTGTGCAGACGACATCACTCTCTGGTGTACGTCTGGATGTCCCGGCCACGTGCAGGATACTTTGCAACGTGGCCTGGACCTTATCGCTTCCTTTCTCGCTACTGCTGGCCTGTCCCCTGCACCGGAGAAATGTGAACTTTTTGCTAAACTGGTCTACGTACCAGCGCTCCCACAATACCCTTATCTACCTACATCTTTCTAGCTCTCATCACCACTGTTCAGCAATGCAAAGCTCTTGGCTTCCCTTTGCACGCGACAAAGAACGCGCAGGCCCTACATCACGCTGTGAGGACTTGCCACTCGGTGACCCACCTCCTGCGACGCGTTGTCACTCGGCAGTCGGGGCTCCACGAGGCTCATGCGTGCCGGGTTGCACATGCGCTTGCCCTCAACAAGTTCTTCTACTTTGTACCCTAAGTTCTTTTCACCGAAACGCAACTCAACACACTCGAAAGAGCTCTATCAGGCCTATACAAGGCAGCTCTAAACCTCCCTCTCACTACCTCTACCACTAAGCTCTTTGCCACAGGCCTCTTCTATCCATTACGTTCTCTCATTTCTCTGCACCACGACTCTCAGATTGCCCGTCTTTCTCTCACTCGTCAGGCCAATGGCTACTGGCCCAAGCCGGTATCCCTCACATTCCCGTTTCCGTTCCCACCTTGCCTTCTGCCGCTAACACCGCTGCTTCTAACCTTCGTCACCTTCCCCTTCCATCCAATATGTCTCCCGTTCTCCACGCCGGCCGGTGTCATACAGCAGCACAGCATCATTTTCCTCCTCTCTCTACACAGGGAGTTGCCTACACGGGTGCCTCATACATGGCTCCTCGGGGCTCGTGTGGCTACGTTATCTACCATCCACACCTTTCGGCACCTGACACGCACACCAGCGGGCCATACTTACACCCGCCAAATGTACTTTCGCTCGAGGTCCTTTCCATGGTCCACGCCATGCAGTCATTTTCTTCCCTCCCTTCTCTCCCCGAGTACACGATTTACTCCGACTCTCACGCCGCCATCCGTCACATACAGAACAACACGTTGCCCCCTGCTCTTCACCAGGAGGTCGAGCGAGCGGCCTCTGCTCTTCAACACTCCACTGTCTTCCTCCACTGGGTTCCTGGGCATTCGGGTATTAACGGCGATGAGCTAGCTCATCAGCTTGCCCGCGATATATTGCACCGGGCACCGTTCATTCCCCGGCCCACACCTTCGGAAGACAGTGAGAGCTCCGCGAATAACGATGGGCAGATCTCCTTGCGTTACACTATCAAGGAGGTATATCTCCAGCTCCGGCTCGACAAGCGTCTTTACCCTCCCCCTCATCCATCACTCACTGCGCTCAAGGCTCGAACTCTACGGCACACCCAAATGAACTGCCTGATAACCCCCTCTCGCCTTTTCCTTTATAAATATAGGTCTAACCCCTGCTGTCCTAATTGTCCCTCCCCATACGCTGACCTGTCACACTGCCTGTTTTACTGCCCAACTGCTCAGCAATCCAGCTATTACCCTCCCCCATCCCTTTCCATCACCTCCTGGCTTGACTGGATTGGCGCCGAAGGGGAAGAAGAACAGCGTCGACTGATCGCACAGGCGGTCGAAATGCTCGGCCTGTAAATTTGGCTGAATAAAAGTCTATTACTACTACTAGTTGTCTGAGCCACAAAGGTCACTTCGCTCGCTGGGCAGGCCAGGTTTGCGAAAAGAGCGCACTTTCAAATACAGTCAAGTAACAAGTGGGGCACTCGTTAGTTCGCACTCATATCTGTACCTGTGATTACGTTTCGTGCGTCGTTTTTGTTTAAACAGCGCGTTAAGCGTGGAGCTGTAAACGTTGTTTGTTACCTCTCATCCTGTGTGTGTTCTTTTCGTGCTTCATTTGTGCGTGAGCAGTGCGTTGAACGTTTCGATCTGCTAGCCGTTCTTAGCATTACATTCCAAGCTGCTATCGCATTCATTGCTTCGCCCCTGCGGCGAAACTGTGACTTTTTATTAACCAGCAGTTAGCTTTGTTTTCCGCTGCAAGCCTGTGTATGTGCCCATTTTACTTGATTCCTTACAAGCATTTGTTCTTTCACCTACGTGGTTCTCGTCTTTTCCCTCAACGCTGTGCGTACCATTTTCCCCTCCATGGCTCGCTGCCTGGTTTCCACTGTTGAGAGTTCCCCTGTTATGTGTGGAACTCATAACGGTGAGACAGGTAGCGATGCGCTACTGATGCACCACAGAACACCGTTCACCCAACGAAACTCAGAATAAACAGCACACGCGATAAAGTTAATCGTAGCTACTGTGTCACGTCACGCTGACTGCGTATCACAGCCTGTCGAGTTCCCACGCATTCTTAGTCCGACTCGGCAAGAAAAGGTCTACTCAGCACGACTGCCTACTTAGACTACTTAGACCGGACCTACTTAGGCCTACTCAGCAAGGTGTGCAAGTAGGAGTAATTCAAGTAGGATCACCAAACTGCGACTCATATTACCACCTGCGGAAATTGCTTCCGCAACGATACATTTGTCGTTGTCTGCCAAAGGCATTTCTGGCAGCTCGCCATATCAAGTCGCGTCGTATCAGTGACGTAGCTATAGGACGTGGCACACCAGGCCCGTTGCCTCCCCCCCAAATTGTTTTCGCCCTGGCATACAGAATGTAAAATTAGCATTTTCCCACTGAGCCCCACTTCAGACCAAGGAGGTGCCCCTCCCCCCACTCCAAAAACACTTTCTGCCTATTCTGCTGTTATGCATGGCCCACGACGACCACCACGACACAGTCTCGCCGCCTACTGTAGCAATTGGGGTGCTTCAAATAGCTTTCCAACATCAAATACCTCTTGTGTCATTTTTTACAGCTGTGACGGAACAATTGTCACGGAGTAGTTCGACTACCTCGAGACATCTGTCGGCGAATCCTTATTACTCACGAAGCATGGTCGAGTGGAGGAAAAAGAGGGGCACTGGGTTTCGGAAGCTCACACGCATGAGCGTGAGGACAGAATAAAACGATAAAGGAGAGGCCAGCTGGCCCATAGAACAGGCGGAATCGGGTAAATGTGGCATTTTCAGCGTCCGAGATCCATAGCTTGGTGACATCTCTGAGTTGACGCAGTCCACGCAGCTGACCATTTAAGGCAATGGCCAAAATAGCGGCGCTTTACGACCGCAGAGAAATGTACTTAACGACATCTATTGCCAGAGTACCGGAAAAGTTCCAGAAACAGTCGAATAGGTCTGCCAGGAACGCCTGGCATGTGGAGGATGCGGACAGCGCGGTGAAATATTAGTGATTAAAGGATCACCAGCGGCATTGTTCGTGCAGCGTGCATTCGTGCAAAAAATGGCAAGAGATATAGCTAACCGTGTATCGCACCAGCGTTGGGATGTTTGCAGTCCCCGTTGGAGCGTAGGATGCGTCGGCTTGATCCAGGCCCTGCTCGCACCCGGAGTCTGGCAGGGCTGGCGGCGGGTCTTGCGAGTCGTCCGCCTGAGGTGCATCTGAAAGACGCGACTGCTGCTGGGTGAGGTCGCGTTCGACAAGCGTCCGCACTTCGGTGGATGAGGGTTTGTGCATTGGCACTGTCCTGATTGATTTGCCCTGCTCCAAGGTGGTCACCTGGCGCAGCCCACTTTGGGGGATCGGCATGCATCTGATGACGATGATGCCTCTGCTATGCCTCTGCTCCTGAGATGTCAAGGGCATTGACCAAAAGTCGAGCCTGATGATGATGATATCCGCTGCGTGATGGCGCTTACCCACAACAAAAAATGGAAGTTTATGATGAAAATAAAAACAAAATACCTTGAATATCGCGGTACAGTGGCTTGGTGATCAAGAGAATGCGCGTTTGTTGTTCGAATGTTTTCTTACGAAAAAATCCGCCTAGCGAGGCTCCTTGAAGCCAAAAACTCCTTACTTAACAGATGGCGTACGCAGCGACTCAACAGGCGGCTCAGAAAGAAAATTGCTATGCTCAAACAGGAGATTGAATCGTACAGCCAAACCCTGGCCAGACAACAATGGGATGAGGTCTGTAACGATGTCGATGGGCAGATGCGGTCAGGGGCGAAATGGAACATTCTCAAGCACCTCCTGGGAGATAAGCAAACTAAAGCTAATCAGAAACACACTGTTGATCGGCTCATTCACAAGGAGAGGTCTGCTGGGCTCTCCAATGATCAAATCTTACAACAGCTGGCGGATAGGTACCTCCCCCTGGGGGCTACCACGGATGCAGACTACCCGGATTTCTCTGGTCTGGAGGATGCGGAGCTGGACTCCCCCTTCAACACGGCAGAGATCAGGGCGGTCCTTTTTGATCTCAATGGAAAATCGGCTCCCGGGCCGGATGGTATCACTAACAGACTACTTAAAAATCTGGACGATAGATCCATTGAGCTACTAACTGACGAGGTCAACCGGGTTTGGGAGTCGGGGCAGGTGCCGAAGGAGTGGCGAACGGCCTCTGTCGTCCTCATTCCCAAGCCTGGTAAACCTCTCGGGCTCGGCACGCTCCGACCGATCTCGCTCACGTCTTGCGTGGGTAAGGTCGCGGAGCATGCAATCCTTAACCGAATCTCCCATCACATTGAACAAAACGAGCTCTTCCCTTTCAATCTCATTGGCTTTCGTCCCGCGCTCTCTACGCAGGACGTCATGAAAATGATTAAACATCAAATTCTCGACATAGACACCAGAGATGTCCGAGGGATTCTTGCACTCGATCTGGAGAAAGCTTTCGATAATATCTCACATCCTCACATACTGGATTCGATCTCTGAGTTGGGATTGGGGGCCCGCTTTTACGGGTTCGTCCGCTCTTTTCTCAGGGATCGCGTTGCCACCATTCGGCTCGGGGACCTCTGCTCCAAGGAATTTCACCTTGGACCTAGGGGAACCCCTCAAGGATCGGTCATTTCGCCGCTAATCTTTAATATCGCGATGAGGAAACTCTCGCTCGAACTCTCTCGTATCGACCGCATCGGACATGCGCTGTATGCGGACGATATTACTATATGGTGCACTGGGGGTAGGGACGGAGACGTTGAGGAGTCCCTCCAGCAGGCCCTCAGGTGCACGGAGGAGTTTTTGGATAGCACGGGGCTGCACTTGTCGACCGCCAAGTCGGAGCTCCTCCTGTACACACAGCCGGAGAAACGCAAGTTCACCACTATTCCATTTCCGCCGGAAGAGATCAGGATCGAAATTCACACACGGTCAGGGCAGGCCATCCCCCGTGTCGATAAAATTCGGATATTAGGCATGTTCCTGGAGGAGCACGGAAGTAACTCTCATACTCTGACTCGTATTGCGGCAAAGGCGGAGAGCATGGTCAAGCTTATACTTCGGGTGTCTAACAGGCGTGGAGGACTTTGTGAGGCCAACCTCATGAGGCTTTTCCATGCCTTTCTTATGAGTCACATTAATTACATTGCCGCAGCGCATAGGTGGGAAAGGAAAGAACAAGGGAAACTGGATGCGATTATTCGAAAGTGCATTAAGAGGGTCTTGGGCCTTCCAAACAACACAAATGAGGAAAGGCTCAAGGCTCTTGGTATGCATAATACATTTAGTGAGATTGCAGAAGCGCAACAAACAGCACAAGCTGCACGACTGTCCTCTTCCAAAGCTGGGAGACGCATCCTGGAGTTTCTGGGCTGCGAACCAACTATGGTAGCAGACAAAAAGATACAGCTTCCACCCAAATTGAGGGAGCAGATTACGGTCTCACAAATTCCTAGAAATGTTCACCCTCTCTACAATGTCGGCCGCCGGGCCGCTAGGGCTAGGTCACTCCTCAGTTCCGCCGCTGCAACCCCTGTTACTTGTGGCGTTCGTTGACGCAGCACAGTATCCCGGCACATCCAATTTCGTGGCTGTGGTCACTGACCTTCACGGTAAAATCCTCACAGCAGCATCTCTTCGAGATACCACGCCGGCTAGGGCAGAGCAGGCTGCTATAGCAATGGCCATGGCGATTCCCATGCGCACGCGCATTTTCACTGATTCTCGAGCTGCTGCACGAGCGTTCATGACCGGATCAGTCTGTGAGCAGGCGGCCCATCTTCTTACCAAAAGACCACATTGCACGGAAATCGACGGCCACATCACCTGGTTTCCTGCCCACATGGGCAAGGATGTCCACCCTGTTATCCCCAATGCCAATGAGCTTGCCCATGCCCGAGCACGCGAACTGTCCCACCGTGACGGGCAATCGGCATCTAATTTTGGGGATGGCATCCGGCAGCTTGATTCGCTCCTCACCTTTAACGAAATTTGCAAAAATTATCAATTGGCCAGGCGTAGCTTTCCGCTCCCGCACCCGCAACTCTCTAGGGCCCAGTCAGTCACTTTAAGAATGCTGCAAACGGGTACTTACCCGTCGCCTTTAGTGTACAGCAAGTTTATCGACAGCATAAAGCCGCAATGCCCTCATTGCGAAGAGAGACGTTGCACGTTACCCCACATGCTCTGGCAATGCGCGGCGCTGCGCGATGGCGAGCCTCTCAGCACAGAAGCTGCCTGGAGGACGGCAATTACCAGCTCGGACCGAGAGGTCCAAATCCGGGCTGTCCAGAGGGCCCGCAATTTGGCGGAGGGGCTCGCTCTTCCTGTCCCCACGTGGGTGCGGCCCGCAGCCGACCCTCCCTCTTGAGGGGAATCGGCTCCTCAGGACAATTTGTAAATAAAGTTCATTGACTGACTGACTGATTACGAAAAAATGGCAAATACCCACTCTGGAGGGGGTCAGCTAACACACACACACACACACACACACACACACACACACACACACACACACACACACACACACACACACACACACACACACACACACACACACACACACACACACACACACACACACACACACACACGCGGAGGATGCTTCAGCTTCTCCTTCAACAGTAGAACGTTACAGTGTACTATAGGGCTGCGTTCGCATTAAGGTAATCGCTAGCCAGCTTTCGCTTCTCGATGGACTGTTTAAATTGACTGCCAGAAAAAGAACGTCTGTGCGCGTAACATGGGCTGTTTAAAACAATCCTACACTGCCTACCACGAGTACTTCGCCATGTACCCATAAGGACGTACCTTTTCCTTTTGTCAACTGCCAGAGTACCCACTAGCCCATCCGTAAGGCTATATACGCACCTCCGCACAGCTGCACACTGTGTAGATGTTGCTTCTGATAATGTTAATTGTGCCTGTGCCATTTTTATGGGTGGACCAACAGCTCGTTGCGCATTGCACGCTTTGACGCCTCGTGCGATTCAACGCTTCTGCCACGCGATACTACACGCCTTAAAGGAGCTCCTCGCACTAAATGCATTTCTTAGTCGGGGTATATCAAGCGTCAGTCTGGATCCGTCCACCACCCTCTCCCATAGCAATAGCTGCGGGCGCGCGCGCCCCAAGCAGGCGGAGCCTCCACCATGTCACGCTTCGGCGTCAGCAGCTGTCAGCAGCAGCTGCGGGCACGATCGCTTGTCCTCGCCCAACCGGAGCCCCCATCTCCTTGACTTGAACGTTACTTGCCTCCGCCTCAATGCAGTGCTTTAAAACGCGTTTGTAGCATTCGAGCTGCCAGCATTTGTGAGCGTTTTTTATTTATTTATTTATTTCATTACCCTGAAGGCCCGAGGGCGTTGGAGAGGGGAGTGGGTTACATTTTTAACGCAACACAATGAAAAAGCGGAAAACTGGTCGTTACATGGATCAGTGAAAGAAACCAACAAGAAATAGTGCACATTATAAGAACAAAAAACAGGTATTAAAGAACTACAAAGCTTAACAGGTCTAGCACAAAAGAAAAAAAAAAAAGGTCAAGCAAACGATATAACACTCAGCCACAAGCACGTGTCTATAAACAAAAAAGATGCATTGTTTCAACAGCATATGTCAAATACGAAAAAAAAGAACAAAGTGCTACTGAAAAATGGAAATACCATATTCCTAAAAATTATGGCGACAGGTTAGTTATAGCAGCCCTAAACATAGAGTTATTAGTAATCTCGACTACAGATCGGGAAAGGTGATTCCAACTTGCTGACGTACGGGGGATGAATGAATTGTAAAAAATGGTTGGTGTGGCATGTGGGAATGCCAACCTTATGGCGATGCTCGATGCAAGGGATACATAAGAAGAAGGGGTTATCAATTTATTCTTAAAGACTGAATTGTCGTTATATATCTTGTGAAACAGGCAGAGGCGAGATATTTCCCTACGTTGTGAGAGCAGAGGTAATGATAAAGTTGTTTTCATGGAAGTGACGCTGGAGGTGCGATGGTAGTTAGAAAGAATGAAACGAGCAGCCCGATTCTGGATGGATTCAAGCTGATGAATGAGTGTTTCTTGGCTGGAGTCCCACACAGATGCAGCATATTCCATTTTGGAACGGACTAATGATTTATACAGAAGTAATTTTACTGGAAAAGAAGAGAGAGAGAAGTAAACGTTTATTTAGAAACAGTGCCCCGAGGAATGCCCGGTGTCACCCTGAGGTGGGAGGGCTCCTTAGTCCAGGAACCCTCTGGCTTCTACTGCCCTCTTGGCCCTGGCGACGAGTTGTTGTTGGTCTTCCAGGTCCTCGAGGGCGAGCTTCGCCTCCCACGTTTCGGTTAGGTCTTCGTTCGTCCGTCCTGCTTCGTTATCAGTCGAGTGTTGTTGCAGATTACGTCTGGCAATACACTGGCATGCA